TTTCACTTCTGAATTAATTCCCTGGATAAAGTGCCCTTTCTGGCAACAAGATAAACAGGTTCATCTAGAGGTTTAGCTAACTGGAGTATAAAGCCCTTCATGACCACAGTGCTCACCTCCATCTACCCCAGGCTCCCAGGCCCAAGCAGGGTACAGTGGCAGGCATTGTGTGCTCAACAAGGTTTCACACCCACTGGGAATCCGAAACATAGACACTGTTTACACGGCACAGCAGACCTGCAGGGCCAGTGCCAAGATGGCTGCCTTACTCTGCACCCCACTAGGCTGCAAAGAAGATTTCCCTCCCTAGCCTCACTGTTAAAACTCCTGAAATAACAGGACAGGTGGCAACTACTGGCTAGGCAAAAGGGTGATTTCCAGAGCTTCAGAGCAGAGTAGGGCTGCGCTGGCATCTTTTTACAAGTTAATTCTGAGAAACATTTCTTCTATGATCATTCCTATTTTTAGGATAGTCCCAAACCTCCAGAGCCTCTGCTATCCCTTCCCCCTTAAAGGACCAGCTGAAGGGTTTTCCAGTGACTTGTCAAGTGCTCTTTACCTAGTATTTATTTGTTTGGATTTCTCCAACAAAAGGGTTTAGCTTTGACTTATTTTTTAAGCACATGCAGGTTAAGACAGGAGCACTGAGACATTACTGGTTGTAACCAAAAGCATCCAATAGGCTTGACTGTTTGCTCATATACCAGCAAAGCAAATTGGACATTGCCTCTGCTTTTAGGGTCTTATCTAAGTGAATGTGGACAACTTTGTAGAAAGTCTCCTCAACAAGCCAAATGAGCCATTGAAAGTGAAGCATTCATTCTAGCCATTAGCTTCGATGAACTTCGTTATGTTGTCTGATATGAATCAGAGCTCAGGAAACTAAGAAATAGCATTATTCTGTCCTTAGAGGTAAAACCCCCATATCCCCTTGGGGTCAAAAGTTTTGGTGACCCACAAACACACCAATAATTTTCAGCAAATACAACAAAACAATTTGAAGGGAATGAAAGCCTTTTCAGCAATTGTTCCTAGAACAATTAACTATCTCCATGAAGGGGCAGGGAGAACCTCAGCCCCTACCTCACAGTATACATAAAAATTAATATGAAAGGGGTCATAGACCAAAATGGAAAAGATTAAACTATAAAAGCTCTAAAGGAAAGTATAGGAGGATATCTCCAGGACTTAAGAGTAATCAAAGGTTTCCTCGTCCACAGCAAGCAATAATCATGCAAAACAAATTGGAAAGTTGAACTTCATCAAAACTATAAACTTCTGCTCATGGAAAGATACTGTTTAGAAAACTAATAGGCAAGTCACACATTGGGAGAAAGTATTCACAGCACATATATCTGACAAAGAATACGTACCCCAAATACATAAAGAACTCCTAAAATTCAATAATAAAAATATAAACAACCTAGTTTAAAAATGGGAAAGGCACTTGAACAGGAAGATATACAAATTACCAATAAGCATGTGAAAAAGTCCTTAACTTCATTTGTCACTAGGAAAATTCAAATTAAAAGTACAATGAGGTGTTACTATCCACCCACTAGAATGGCTAAAATTTTAAAAACTTGACACCCCCAAATGTTGGTGAGGAGCCAGAACTCATACATAGACTGTGGCTGGAAATGTAGGATAATTCAGCTACTTCAGAAAATTTTTTAACAGTTTCTTATAAAGTAAAACATATGTCTATTCTACGATACAGCAATTCTACTCCTATATGTTTATTCAAGAGCAATGAGAACATAGGTTCACAAAAGGACTCAGAATAAGAATGTTCATAGAAATGTTATTCATAATAACTAAAAACTGGAAACAACCCAAATGTCCACCAAGAGAAGAACATAAATGTTTGCGTATTCATAGAATGGAATACTACTCACTAACATAAAGGAATGAATTATATGCAATATCCGTGAATATAAAAAATACTGTGAAGAGTGAAAGAAGCTACACATGAGAGAGTATGATTCCACTGATACAAAATTACAGAACATGAAGAACTAATCTATGGTGTAAGGAGGCTTTGTGAAAAAGGGAGAGGACCTGATACTACATGGAGAGAAAGAGAAGGCAGGTCATCCCAGCGTCCCAACTGAGCCTAGCCCAGATTGCAGCATGATGAGAAATAAGAAAATGGTTATTTTTGAGTCACTAGGTTTTGGAGTGATTTGCTTTGCAGCAATAGACAACCAGAATTGTTGCTTTCCTTGTGGAATTGTCAGAACTAAGTGATATGACCCTCACGAAAAGTCTCTGTAAATGGACAAGTGCTAAGAATTTGTGAGGGGCTTTTATCTCTGGGCACATGTGCAGGTTAGGGTTTGTGCTCACCTCGAGAATTATCCCCTGAAATAGAGGTCTTACTATCTAACCTATATAACCTTTGGTTTCTTCTATCTCCCTCCTCCCTCTCACCTGGGTAGCCATCCACTATTGCTTCTGGGGAAGAGAGAAGATGAGAAAGAGAGGAGGGAGGGAGGGAGAGGGGGAGAGAGATTCATAGTTTAATGAGAAATAAAAGAAAATGAATAAAATATTTTTACAAATAGCCACATAGTCTGAGTCGAAAAGATGCGCCAATTTTATTTATCTTGTTAAGGAATGTGTCTAGCTTGAGGACTAGTCAATGCTTACTATTATAATTTTAAGACTCTACCAAATACATTGGAAGTTAGAGAGAAGGCTGAGCTGGAGAGAAGAGAGAGGGAGTCACCATGGTCTAACGGGCTGGTCCTCAATCTGGTCCATGTCCACTGTTGATTTGGGCACAGGGGGACTGAATTATATGAACCCAATTCCCAGGAGATGGGCTGACAAACCAGGATGCCAGTTTATCCATTTGCAATGAGAAATGTGATTTTCCAGCCACGGTGTTAGGCTGTTTTGAGTGGTAAGACTTGGGGAAACCAGATTACCTGAACTGGTAAGTGTTTCACATCTGGAAACATGGGGAAGTGGGGAAGTGTGGAGAACCATGAACCAGTGGAGCATTTGGGGTGTGCTGAGTAATGTTAATGGACTGTTATGCAAAGCCTGGGTTATGCACCTGGAATTTGTAATCTATTTCTAACCAGCCTCAGAAGATGCTCTCAGCCCTCTGTTTATGGGCTATAGGGATGCAGGGAAATCAAGTCTAGGAGATAGCCCCTCCCTCTCCAAAAGGATGGTGGAGCTAGGGTCCCTTCTTTTATGAAAAACAATGTAACAGCTTTGAGGGATTTGAACAGCTCATGAAAGACCATTAGCTCCAAGCTCAGCTTGGATGACGTCTCTGGACTCCTCCTCTATTATAAGTGCCCATGTCTCCATCTATCTATTCTTGCTCTATATTATCAAGTTTGTTTATATGTCAGACACTATAACTATGAGTTCTTGAAGGTTAGAATTATGTCTTTTTCATCTTTTTTTCGTCAGTCCCAGAATAGTCGCTGGCATACAGTGGTGCTCAAGTAATTCACGTGGCATTAACTAAAAGTCTGATGTTTCTGGAATCTGGCTGAAATCTGAAACATTGCAACATCCTCTCACTTAGAATGCTGCCTTACCCTTTTGTCATAATTTTAGAGTGAGCAGGAATGTCGAGATCGCTAGATCAGGCGTCCTTTGATGAGGACCGGGCAGCTCGGGGAGGGAAGGCATTTGCCAGAGTCGCCCTACCAGGGCGCCTGCGCCCCTTTGCAGCCCTCCCGATCTCCTGGGCTTCGGGAGCCTTCCCTCACATCCCTCTCCTGAGGGTGCTCCAGGGAGGTAAACGCCACCAAGACTCCACCACATCCCACTCCAGGGACTCAGCCTAGGGTCACAAAAGCCTTTATGTCTCACTGAAGTAAGATGTGTTCTAATTTGTGCCCATTCATTCTTGCAGACCCTTCCCCAGATTCACCCGCCCTAGTCTGGGGAGATGGGGCGGAGAGGGGAAGAGCCTGCCTGGCCGCCCGGAGCTCTCCACCGCTGGAAGCCAGCGCCCCGGCACCCAACTTGGGAAGGGAGCTCCGCCCCATGCGGGGGGGGGGAGGGGGAGGCGCACGCAGCTCTAGGGGGACCAGGAGCGCCGCGGGGTCAAACTGGCGGGGTCCCAGCTGCTGGGACAGCAATGAACGCCAAAAACCCCTTAGGGAATACTCTACAAAAATCATTTTCATTACTGTGCAGTCCTTGTAAACTGACCCAAGCACAGTGCCCTAGACTCACCTACAGGAACTGTTCCTAAAATCCCATTCAGTGCGTGCGTCTCTGTCCTGCCTCTGTCCGTCTCAGGCGAAGGTCTACCCCCCTGGCAGCGCGGGGACAGTTCCCAGCGGCTCGCCCGGCCCGAGCTCCCCTCCCCACTCCACTTTCTGCATCCCATTCGGACCTCGGGGAAGCAGGGCAAGAAAGAAGGCTCGAAGCTTGGCTTGGATCATGAGAATATTTAGGAGAGTATTTATTTACCTTCAATTCCATTTAAACCAGTCATCTCAAACTTGGATGCTCTTTGCAACCACCTGGGGAGCTTTAACACCTAACGCCTGGATAGGTTCTGATTTAATTGATCTGGGATGCGACCTGGGCATGGAGATTTTTTTTAACTCCCCGAGTTATTCATAGGTTGAAAACTATTGATATAAAATCCTCATTCCTCCCTGACCAAAAAAAAAAAAAAAAATTAACCAGACAAACAAACAAGCGCCTGTAGTCCCAGCTACTCCAGGCTGACACCACGGCACTCACTCTAGTCTGGGCTGGGCAGCGAGACTCTGTTCTGTCTCAAAAACCCTGACCAAAAAAAAAAAAAAATAGTTTCTAAGCCCAGGTCGATGGCCCGGGGAATCTGGCACCTCCTCCTTTGCAGCCTTTGGGCATGGCAAGGTCCCGGAAAACCGGTGCGCGCGGCGACGCCACACACGCGGCGGCGGGGCGGGCGGGCCGGGGGGCGGGGTCGCTCGTGGCCCCGCCCCCGCACGCCTATGGGCGCGCGGTGCGGGCCCTGACGTCACTCTTGTCAGGGCCGCGGCACATGGGCGGCCGGATGAGCTGAGCCGGGCGCTGCGGGGCCGCGGAGCGCGGGGGAGCAGCGGCCGCCGGCGCGGGGAGGGGGGTGGGGCGGGCCGGCGCGCCGCCTCGGGTGCTGGCACTAGGCGCCAGGGTCGGCGCGGTGCCTTCTGCCCTTCTGCAGCCGTCGACATTTTTTTTTCTTTCTTTCTCTCTTTTTTTTTTTTTTTTTGCAATTTTGAACATTTTGCAAGACGAGGGGTTCGAGGCAGGTGAGAGCATCCTGCGCGTCGCCGGGGAACCCGCGGGCACTTGGCGCGCTCTCCTGGGACCGACTGTACTGGAAACCCGAAAGTTTTTTTTTATTTTTTTGAAATACATATTTTTATGTAGATGTATTTATAAGGCTACAAGTAATTTTTTTTCTTCCCTTGTCTCCAGCGCTTTGAAAGCGAGTACTTTTGGCAGAGGACGCAGGAAAAGCTCAGCAACATTTTGGGGGGGGGAGGACGGTTGAATCTTTTGGTGTTTTTTTTTTTTATTTTATTTTTGGAGGAAAAATAATTGAGTCCATCGCGATGGAGAAAATGTCCCGACCGCTCCCCCTGAACCCCACCTTTATCCCGCCTCCCTACGGCGTGCTCAGGTCCCTGCTGGAGAACCCGCTGAAGCTCCCCCTTCACCACGAAGACGGTGAGCGCTGCCGCGGCCGCCCCGCTCCTCCCCTCCCGCGGCCCCGCGCTGGGAAGGGGCGACGCTCCGGGTCCCCCTCCTCGGCCGGGCCGAGCCGAGCACGCCCGCGGAGCACCGTCCCCTCGCCCCGTCCCACGGCGCCCCGCCCGCTCCGGTGCGGCCGAGGGGCTCGCCCCTCGCCTTCCTGCTGCTCCTCTGTGGGAGGGGAGCGACCCTCCTGAGCAACATTTAAAACAGCGCGGGGTGGGGGCAGCCCAGCCTCCCGGGTCCGCTCCTGCGCGCGGGTGGGAGGTGGAACTTGACAGGTCGGGACTGGTCCCTGGAAGGGGCACGCCCGCGAGCAGAGGGAAACCGCCCGAGCCTGGGCAGAGCCCCCGGGGCCGGGGAGGGGACACCCCGGGGCCCGGTTCTAGGGTGGGCGGGGGGCGGCTCGGGTAGTGGGGGGCTCTCCCTGCGTAGCCTGGGCGTCGGGCTTGTGTTATAGGTTCTTTTTGCTGGCTACGGTTTGGAACTCACGGGGTCTGGGCGGAGACGCAGTTTTCTCCCGGGGCAGGGTAATTCAAAAACGGGGTTGGGGGTTGGGGACGACGGGGGGAGTGGTCTCCCGGAGGGAAGCGGTGCACGCCTCCCGCGCCGACACTTTCCCGGAGCACTTTTCCTGGTGGGAGGGGAGAGCGGAGCGGGCTCACGTGTCACCGCGCAGGAGCCTCCTCCGGCTAGAGCCCTTTCTTGGTAAGTCCCAAACCTTCCCGAGGCAGCCTTGGCCCCAGCGGGAGAGGAGGGGTACGAGAGACACGGAGGCCCCGAACCCCAGAGGGTACCGCCGCGGATTTGTCGTTTGGGCTGATGCGTTTTCATGCCTTCCGTATCACAGCAGCAGATGCTACTCAGAGTGTAAAAGTCTTGAAAGATTGTTTGGCTACAGATACCTTGGGAGTACTCACATCTTTCCTAGGAGGGGACCACCTGTTGCGTTGCAAGAGTCGGGGTGTTCGGTTAAGCAGTTTGCAGATCTTAGCTCCCCTGCGGTAACTCTCCTTTAAGGAGCAGCGCCTGGGAGGAAGGGGCTGCGGGCGAGCTTGCTTTTGTATTTGCAACCCGAGGTGTTCTAAGTCAGATTCTCAGGCGAGACTGTGGAGGGTTAGAATGGGTTGTCGTGGAGGCTGTGTTTCTCTGAAGACGAAACTCAGAAGCAAATTCCTTAATCCCAGATTCCACCCACGCCTCAGTATTAGAATTGGCAAAATCCAGAGCGCCTGTTAAAGACCTGCTTGGGTGAGCAGTATTTCCAGGTAGAAAATAGCTCCATACTTCCATCATAGGTATGTAGAATACCTTTTGCAATACCTGTGCTTTGATGGGTTTCCTAAATGTGTAATTTTTGTAAACTGGATTATACTGAAGTGTTTGGGAATGAGGAGGAAGAAAACATTTTTTTTTAACTCCTTTTGTAAAAATCAGTGTGCCCCAGTAGCTTTCTAAGCAAGCACGTGTGAACTCAGAAAGTTCTCATTTTTCTTCTCTGCCAATGGGAGGCATTGGTCAAGTTCCTTCAGATCTCAGAGCCTCTGTGTCTTCATTGTAAATGGAAATAACCACTGTTTTGCAAGGGTTTTTAATGAGATTTTTGAGATAATGTATGGAAAGAACAAGGCATACAGTAGGTGCTCAATACATGATATTAAAGAAAGGTGAAAAGTCCCTGCCTTACCAAAGTTAAGACCCCCCCAACTCACTGGCTATGTAAGTCTGAATGACCTTATAATATTCTTACTGTGATAAATTTCCTGGAAGATAAACTTGGTTATTGGCAGATTTCTTAAAACTCACAGCAGTTGTATCACAGCTGTTATTTTCCCCACTTTAGGTTTAAATTATTAATCGCCCCAAATAGTGCACCAAGACTTGTTGTTCTCTTGTTTTTATTCTAGATCAGCCTGTAGCCCTGTCCCAAGGATTAGTGCTTTCTTTCCAAAGTAAATAGGAAGATGTTGAAAAACAGGCAGAGATCCATGTGCTGCCTGAACTTTTAACTCTGGATCCACAGAAGACAGCAGCCAGAGGAGGACCCTAGCATTGGTGACACATGGTTGTATAACAGGCCAGGAAAAGTGGCAAAAGATCGATGCTTTTTCTTTTCTGTCTTTTTTATTCAAGTCCCGCTTTCCCTTCTTCTGCAGCATTTGGTAAAGACAAAGACAAGGAAAAGAAGCTGGATGATGAGAGTAACAGCCCGACGGTCCCCCAGTCGGCGTTCTTGGGGCCCACCTTATGGGACAAAACCCTTCCCTATGACGGAGATACTTTCCAGTTGGAATACATGGACCTGGAGGAGTTTTTGTCAGAAAATGGCATTCCCCCCAGCCCGTCTCAGCACGACCACAGCCCTCACCCTCCCGGGCTGCAGCCGGCTTCCTCTGCGGCCCCCTTGGTCATGGACCTCAGCAACCGGGCCTCTGCACCCATTCACCCCGGTATCCCGTCTCCAAACTGCATGCAGAGCCCCATCAGACCAGGTAAAGCTCTCGGAAGCTTCTCCCTGCGGAAGGGGAGAAGGGCGAATGGGAGGGGCAGGGGGGGCTGGCGTGAACATCTTAACACTCAGGGAGGCTTCAGCACACATTGTCAGGGAGGAACCTTCTGCTTTGCCCAGGGCAGAGGGTCTCCCACTTCAAGGAGCGTCCGTATCACTTATCTGAAATACAGATCCTACTTATCTGAAATACAGATCCTATGTCTCTGCCCCTAGAAATTATAATTCTTCAGGTCTGGGGTAAGGGTCTAGGAATATGTAATTTTGACCAGCTTCTCATGGGATTCTGATGCAGTTCATCCAAGGACTGCAGTGTAAGAAATACCAACAGTTAATGATTCCAAATTTTAGCATCCATCTCATCTCCTCTTTTCCTCATTCCTTAAACACATAGATAATAGGGTCTTGCTGAATGATGTGAGTGGACTCTCTGTAAGGCTTGGTTTACCTGCATTCACTCTTCTCTGGCCTGAAGGGGACAAAAACAATGTGAGTACGGGTGTGAGGCAGGTATTTTTTCATCCTTTTCATCTTATCATTAACTAAGAAATAGAATCCAAAAGCAGCTCTCATATTAAATGTGGCTTAGCCTTCTTCCTGCCCAGACCCCGTTTCCCTCTTTTCGTTATTCCCACAAACCAAACTGTTCTTACTTTTTTTTTTTTTCATTTTCATCTGTCCATCACACTTAATCCACCTTTATTGAAGCCTGCTAGGCCGCAAGATTGGCTGTAAGTGATGTTGAAATATCAACCAAAAACATCACCTGAAATGACCAGGACTTCAAACCCCACTGCTAAATGCTCAGATAGAAACACAGATTCAGGCAGCTCTGGATTCATGCCTTTAGCACCCTGTAGTACAAAACGAACAGGAAGAAAGACCATTTCATGTGCACAGGTAACCAGAACAAAGAGCCAGCCAGATAAATCGTCAGGAAGGTCACAGAGCTGAGGGCCTTAGCCGTGGGGGAAGACAGAAAGCAGGACAATGCGAGACTTGTGCTAGAGATCGTTCCTGAACTTGGTGTCCTCTGCTTGTGTAGAAATTTCTGTGGCACACAGAGCAAGATTTAAATGGAAGAAAATGATGCAAAGAAGGAAGAGAACACCCCCGCCTTGATATATTGGTATTGGAGTTAAAGTTCTTCCTTTCACGTCTCTCTGTGCTGGCCTTTTCTCCAAAATCTACTTTGAATTATAACTCAAGGCCACTGGCTGGAATGGAATTAGATCTGAACCTCCAGCCACCCTGTAGGCTGCAGGAGCTTGGGCAAATACCCCTGATGTGAACCTGAGGCCCTGCTACAGAATGTACAGAATGTACAGTGCCATTGTCTTCAGTTGCTTCCCAGGAACAATCAGCAAAAATAAACAATTCTTCAAAGTGGAAAAACAACCAAGGGAGAAGGGAGCAGAGCCCCAGGGAGGAGGCACACTTGTGCCTCAGTCATTCCACTCTGCAGAGTGTGACTTACCGCTTGGTAGCTGTGTGGCCTTAAGAAGTGACATCACCTTTGGAGCCTCAGTTTCCCTTTGTGTAAAAGGGTATAATTTCTGTTTTATTGAGTTATTGGGAAAATTAGCGATAATATATATAAAGGATCAAATGACTAGCAATGGATGTTCTAGTAATGGAAACAGTTGTGATCATTGTTATATCTGTGTCAACTTTTATTATTTACTTCAATCCCTGTCTTCTGAAATTCCTTCTTAAAGTAATTAGGTACAGCATATAACTCTTCCTTTGGAGAGAAATATCAGGAAATTTTGCCCAGTAGTTATAGATTTGGGGTGTTTTAACTATAGTACTTATAATCAGTGGACTAGTATTTCTGCATTGCCTACCAAATATAGGATGTGTACCATGTTAGGAATATTGTATTTTTTTCCCAAAAGACATCCAAATATTGAGTGTCCACACCTTGCTTCCTACTGAGAGTCAAAAATCAGGGTTTTAGAATTTGAGACTTCTTTAAAAGTCATTTTTCAGAGCTTGTTAGAGTCAGTCATTAATCAGTGACTCTCAGAAACTTGGGCTGCCCCAATCAGAGTTGCAATCCATAGCAAAAAAACTCCTGAGTTGCAGTAGGTATCATTTTGTCACATGTGCCAGGAAGGCACTGGGATCAAATGGAACACTGAGGGGCTAGAAATAAACTCTTTATTTAAATGTCTTTTTGATAATGGAAACACACTTCAAAATAATTTTTTTCCTTGAATTGAAAGCTCAATGATAGTCCTCACAGAGAAGAAAAAAAGTTAAAGTTCTTCTTCAAATGCCAAGCTCGGGTAGAATAACACTCAGCTGTTCCTACACTGTTGATCATTATAAAGATTATAATGCAAAATAAAATTGCAGCATCAAGGATGCTGCCTTGATGGATGTATATCACAAGCAAACCTGAAAAAGGAGAGAGTTCTTGATTATTCTCTGTGGCTCACAGAAGTGACCAGAATAGAAATAGCAAGTTAATCTTGAAGAAAATAAGCCCTTGGAAGGGAAGAGCACAGATGTAGCCTGGAGCATTCTGGGAACTGTATAATTTCAGTCTCGATCAGGATTTCTCAGCCTTGGTGCTGTTCGTGTTTGGGGTAAGTCTTGTTGTGGGTCACCATCCTGTGCATTGTAGGGTGCTCAGTAGCATCTCTGCCTCTGCTTCCTAGGTGCCAGTAGCACTCCCACCTCTAGCTGTGACAAGTAAAAATGTCTCTAGTCACTGCCAAATGTCCCCTGAGGATAAAGTCACTCCTAGTTGTGAACCACTGGTTTAGATCTTTAATGTGGACAGCAGAATATAGACTTAATTCAGGATCCCGTCACACAAATGGATGCTTTTACCTCCCGTGATGCTTTATGGCAAAGCTTTTTAAGAAAGTCAGGAAACATTAGGTTGCCAAGAAGAAACAGGATATTAATAAGAGTGTAATTATGCACTTTGAGTTGATAAAACTTAGCCCTCGGGCTACTGGGGAGATAATAGTGGAACAATTACCAAACTTTTGTTTTCACCTATCTGATCAGCATGTCTCTGTTGAGTTATGCTCAGTGGCATTGTGTCATTAGTGCTACCTGTTTGGTTGAAAGGCATTGAAGCCATAAGCTGACAAATTATGCATTTCTAGTCCATCCCAGGAGGTCTTGGACTGACAAGGAGGTGAACATTCTTGTGAATTCTCATGTATTTATCATGACTAACCCCCCAGTCCCTGTTCCTATATTGTACACCCCATCCTTAGTCCTCTGTCTAGTTATCTAATCAATGAATGAATCAAATATCTGAATAAATATACTTTGCTTGGAGAAATAATCCAGTGAACTATTGAAACCAGTGGCTGGTGTGATGGCTGGGCCTTCTGGGCTGACAGCTTAATGAAGGGAAGAGTGGTGGCTTTTGGATGCTGTAGCTACCTGCAGAGGCTTCTCAGTCATCTCAGGTGCAGCATCCTGATGTTCCCAGGCCGGCAGAGAGAGCAGGAGTCCATCTGACGACTTGGATGTTTGCATTTCAGACGCTATCAGAGTTGGTACGTGGGGTTGCTCTCCTGGAGGTATGTGCTGGGTACTGGAAAAATAAGAATCTATTTGCCCTGAGAATTGAGCGATTGCTTTAAGGACAGCCATCCCTTTAGGGAAAGTCATCTATAGCAGACAAAGGCAGAGTTATTTTTAAATCACATGCTTGTAAAGCCAGATTTGAAATCGTTTCCTCTGGTGGTTTTTCTTTGAATAGCTTGGGGGTGTCTCACCACTGTTAGGCCCATATTCTGCTAAGAATTAAGAAGGCTCTCTTTCCAGTTCTGAGCACAGAGACCAGGTCATGATAAAGACTGGTCACAGAGTAAAGTGAAAACCCTTCCGTGTGGTTGTGTGTGGGAAGAGAAGGGCATAAGTGGTTGGCACAAGAGGAGTGAGGGTGAGGAGAACCCACTGTACCATTGCAATATGGAGTCTGTGCTCCGTTCCAGCAGACCTTCCTTTGTGACAAGGTTTGGGTACAGAAGGAAAAGGCTGCCCCTGTGGGATTTGAGTAATGACGGAGAGGAGTTCTGTGCAGGTGGTTCTGGGATTGTGGGAAGTCCTGTTGAGGCAAGAGGATTTTCTTGCTTTTCCCCATACCATGAGATGAAGCTCCCCTTAAGGGCTTGCAATTCATCTGTATTCCTGTCCAGCGGACTGCTGTGCCTGCAGGCTGGGAACGTGAGGTTGATAGTCGCCGTGCATGGCACCTCACGTATCGTGGAGGTGCCTCTCATTCATCAGGATCCCGTGATCCTGAAGAGGAGGGAGTCAGCTTTGTTCTCGAGGCAGGTGGACTTTTTTCTGTTACTTTTGTAAGAGTATCTGCTCCAAGCCTTGTAGAGCAGTGGTCTCCAAGCTTTTTGGCACCAGGGACCAGTCTCATGGAAGACAATTTTCCCATGGATCGGGGTGGGGTGGGTGTAGGGGGGTCGGGGAGGTGGATTGGGATGGGTGGGTGGTAGGGGCTGGGGAGGGGAATTGGGGTGCGTGGGTGTAGGGGGCTGGAGGAGGTGGATTGGGGTGGGGTGGGTGTAGGGGCTGTGGGAGTGGATTGGGGTGGGGTGGTGTAGGGGCGGGGGAGTGGATTGGGATGGGTGGGTGTAGGCGGGGGTGAGGGAGGTGATTGGGTGGGAGAGGTGGATGGGTGGGGAGGTGGATGGGGTGGGGTGGGTGTAGGGGGCTGGGGAGGTGATGGTAGGGTGGATGTAGGGGCTGGGGGAGGTGGATTGGGTAGGGTGGGTGTAGGGGCTGGGGAGGTGGATTGGGATGGGGTGGTGTAGGGGGCGGGGGAGTGGATTGGGAGTGGGTGTGGTGTAGGGGCTGGGGGGGAAGGTGATTGGGTAGGGTGGGTGTAGGGCTGGGGAGGTGGATTGGGATGGGTGGGTGTAGGGCTGGGAGGTGGATTGGGGTGGGTGGTGTAGGGTGGTGGGAGGTGGATTGGGGTGGGGGGTGTAGGGGTGG